AGCATCAAGCTAAGATCAAAAAAATGATGATCGCACAAGTTGTGTGAAACTAAAAAAACTCAAAGTCCTTGTAAACTATGTAATTAAAAAAAGACTTTATACAATATATAAATAGATATAAAAAAACCAACACTTAATAGAATCATTTAATACAAAAAAAGACACAATGTTGAAATAAACACTGTGAAAAAAAAGTGTATCCATGTACAAATTGAATATGACTTATTTCAAAAATACAGGAATCCTACAGTCTAGAAAAAAAATTATTCACCAATTTCTATGTACAAGAAAAAAAAGAAAACAAACATAATCAAACAAAAAAAAAAAAAACTCTGAAATCTTAAAATTTGCTTTTTGAAAAAAAATATAAATATGCCAACCAAACCATTTCAAAAAAACCTATATGATCAAACAGCAAACATTTCAAAAAAACTGTATGTTTCAGTCATGGAAGATAGTAAAAAAAAGTTTTTTTACCAAAACTAAAATATATAAAAAAATGAATTGAATAAATTTCAGTTTCTAAGAAAAAAAAAAATGTCTAATGAAGTGGAACTGTAAAAAAAAAACTGTGCATATCAATTATGCTCTGTGTAAAAAAAGCATTCGCCTTTCATCTTCCAAGCGTAAAAAAAATGGCTTTTTTGAATACAACAAGTTATGAAAAAAATTTGGCTGGTACATTCATAACAAAATTAAAAAAAAAACACACACAAAATAAAAATGACATTAAAAAAAGTTGTTTCTACTCTAGCTTTAAAGTTTAAAAAAAGATTTGATATACTAGTAATAGACTTATAAAAAAATTTCGTTGTTGCTTTTACTAATAATATAAAAAAATAAGACCCATTTTTGGGCAAAATATGTAAAAAAACAAAACAATATTATGCATGTTCAATGTGCATGAGAAGATGTAATAATAAGTTTTAAGAACTAAAAAAAATTTACAATTGTTCTGTAGAATTAATAAAAAAAATAGTGAACGCCATTGGTTGAATCGAACGATTTCTCAAATATGCCATTTTCACTGATTTCATAAAAAAATTCGAATAACGARTTTGTTTTATTGAAAAAAAAAAGGCGGTCCAGTCCCTCTGCTGAGCCAGTATAAATAGAACTAACAACATGTTCTGGCACTAAAAAAAATAACCTGTTCTTGCTTCTCTTCAGTATCAAATCTAAAGGCACTTTAGGCAATCGCTTTACTAAAAAAACATATCCTCCATTCTTTAATCGTTGCAAAAAAAATATCAACTCCAAGTACTTCACACAAGTAAAAAAAGCAATAAAACTTATTCTTTGCTCCAAGATCCAGTCTGTTAGTCGTATAGCTATCCCGCGAGCAATAGGATAGTATTGTTCTACCTTATCTGACGTAAAACAGGGTATCCTGCCCATAATTTCGTCTGTAAAAAAAAAAGCATAGTTGGAATAAACAGGGTGAGAAAAAAATTCGCTTTCAATTATCGTTGTTTTGCCAGCACCCATTGGACCTAATACGAAAATAGCCTCTAAAAAAACTTTCGTATCAAGRAATTGTTTTTTCCAAAAAAACTCTACTTTGTGAACTTCTTCAGGTGGAAAAAAATATGTTTTATCTTTGSTGCAGTTCATGAAAAAAATAGAGAATTCACAATCCTGATTTTTTTAAAAAAATTTACGTGTTCCCTTTATCATGGTGAAACTTGAAAATGACCTCAAAATGTTGCTTGGATGAAAAAAAAGCAAGATCCAAGAGGAAAATGTTGTGCAAAAAAATGGTTGAAGGAAAATTGGGTAAGCTCTAAAAAAACTCGTGATCATCGCCATCTTGTTTCACAAAAAAACTGCTGTKCGTCATGTCGACTACGGGGAAAAAAATAGGGGGAGTGAGGGACACAGAAGACCAAAAAAAATATAGGTCTAAAGTAGCACTTCACAGAAAAAAATTTTTAATTACAAGAGGGAGCGGTGTTAAAAAAATGAAAAGCATTCTGAAGATGTGATCCTAAAAAAAGTATAACAATTAAAGGAACGTAAACCCAAAAAAACCTCCCTGCCCTCCCTGGCAAAAATTGAAAAAAACCCGATCAATTAGTATTAAGTTATTAAGGCATTGAAGCATGAATGCAATTTAACTAATATTAAAAAAATAGACTACTGCATTTACATTATGTTTTAAAAAAAGTCTAAACACCGAGCCCCTCCTGGCGAAAAAAAACTTTAAAGATGGCGCTTTTAGACCTATAAAAAAATATATATATAAATATACTTTGAGAAATAAAAAAACATATAGGTACAAACTATTTGGAAGAAAAAAAAATATTTTTACAAAAATCTTTCTTCAGTTAAAAAAAGAAATACGTTTTAAAAAACATTGATTAAAAAAAAAGATCTGAGCAAATTTCCATGACGTCATTTTGTATCCCATGAGCCTCTACGTTTGTAAACAAAAAAAACAAGATGGCTGACGACAATGGTGATTCAAAAAAAAAAATAATAAAAAGTGTTTTATACGCTAAAAAAAGCAACCCGGTCGAATTCAAAGATGGTTAAAAAAAACCGAAAAGACTGAATGGACTTTCTTTAAAAAAATCTTACTCTTCTAATTTTTTATCCTTTAAAAAAAATTCTGTTTTGACGTTTGTTTTTTGTCAAAAAAAAATTAATAGAAATCATGTTTTTAATACAAAAAAATGTTTTACAGGCGACTTTTCATTTTAAAACATACAAGAAAATTGCAAAAGGACGTAAGCTTAAAAAAAGCTCAAAGACATTAGGGCAGCCGTTTGAAAAAAAGCTGGGGAAGAAGTTCAAGCTTGAAGTTTGGGAGGAGATCATCAAAACCATGAAAATCAATAAAAAAACCATGTTTACTTGCGATAAATCGGTAAAAAAAAAATTGTATATTGTTGCTTTGGGCATCTTAAAAAAACTTTTGATCTCAGATGTATACTTAAGCAAAAAAATTCTTTGAATTGAATGTGTTGTTCTTTAAAAAAAACAATAGCTGGAGTGAGTTTACTTTTTAAAAAAATCCTCAATCCAGGAAGTAGTTTTCAATAAAAAAACAGATATTGCAATCATTCCGTTATAAAAAAAAAATTATTATCCTTGATTTTTTCCAGTCATAAAAAAAATTCAGTTACTCTATTTATTTATATTGAAAAAAAGGTAGTTATTCTTGTTACTTTCTTCAAAAAAAAAGGGAAATGTTAATAAAAAGCATTCTGAAAAAAAAAAGAATACCAGCATCCTTTGCAGTCATACTAAAGCAATAATATAATAGTGACTGGCTTTGTAAAAAAATGTTGGGGGCTATCCTTTTGTCTCSAAAAAAAAACGCAATGCTGTGAARCAAGCAAAAGGAAAAAAAACTAAAASCCATGARCAGCATGAYCACTAAAAAAATCTATCAGCTATCAAACCTACTGGGTAAAAAAAACTGGACAAACTATCCCGTAAAGAGAGAAAAAAAATCTTTGAAATTGAACTGTTGTCTGTTGAAAAAAAAGGTGATTATAAGAAAGAAACTTGGCAGATGGATTCAGGGGAAAAACTTAGTGTCATTCCTAAAAAAAAAGAGGAAGGAAATCAATTGTATGCCAAAGAAGAGTACAAAGAGGCAGCAGAAAARTATGCAAAAAAACTAGGATGCCTTGAGCAGCTGTGTCTTAGAGAAAAGCCAGGAGATGAAGAATGGACTAAACAAAAAAAAATGAAAATACCCCTTTTACTTAATTTAAAAAAATGTAAGTTATTACTTGGTGAATACTATAAAAAAATCAAACACACTGGCACAGTGCTTGAAAAAAAAAATGAAAATGTGAAAGCTATTTATCGGCGTGCAAAGGCACACAAAGCATGCTGGAAYCCAGCYAAAAAAAAGGCAGACTTCAAGAAAGCTGCTGAACAAAAAAATTCACTTAGAAAAACCATCAAAAAAGAAAAAAAAGAGCTGGAGCAATTGATCAAAGAGCATAAAAAAAATGATAAAGAAAAAATGAAAAAAATGTAAAAAAATAGTTGATATTATTTTGTAGGAGATGAAAAAAAATAGTAGATTGTAGATATAACCATTTTTGTCCATGACTATTCATTATGTTCTGACAACAATAAAAAAAATGGTTATCCACAGTCGCTCTTCTGAATTTTATTTGACCTACAAAAATGCTAAGAATCAGAGAAAAAAAGTTCTTCTTCATTGACAAACATTTTACAACTCCAATACAGATATTTCAAGGAAAAATTATCAAAAAAATTGGTCCATCAGTCTTTATTTAGATTTTTTTTTCTTGCAATAAAAACTATAATAAAAAATAAAAAAAACTGTGAAAATCGATGTGTTAAGTCGTAAAAAAAAACAAAGGTAATCCTTCTGGAAACAGAAAAAAAACATTGCACTGTTGACGAGTGTTATGGTAAAAAAACTTAATCACTTGTTTCTATGCGTAGAAAAAAAAAATGCTTTGGCATAAGTGTAACTCCGGCAAAAAAATCCATTGGGACTTGTGTTTCTGGACAGAAAAAAAACTTATACTTTCTTATAATATTCACTAAAAAAAACTTCACTTCAAGAAGGGCCAATCTCTTTCCAATACAATTTCGAGGACCTTCTCCAAATGGAAAAAAAAGGAATGGATGCCTGGATTCCTTKGCAGAAAAAAAGAAACGCTCTGGGTCAAACTTTTCTGGAAAAAAACATGCTTCTGGGTCGCGGTGTAGGGTAAAAAAAAGAATAACCACCTCCATGCCTGCAGGAAAAAAAAACATGGCATTGATACTGTAAGGCTCRCTAAAAAAACTATTCACATAATGAACCGGTGGATGCAAAAAAAACACTTCATTGATCACACATTCCAAGTAAAAAAACTCGTTGACCAGTTCGTACAATGGTTTAAAAAAACTTATCTGTTGAGCCATCAGGATTTCAAAAAAAAAGCGTTCCTGGACATCAGGGTTAAGTGAAAAAAAGTACGCASACATAGCAAGGGTATTACTAAAAAAATCATGACCAGCTACCAGGAATGTCACAGACTGAGAGATCATTTCCTCTTCATGAAGTTTTGAAAAAAAGTCAGYATTTTTAGCAGAAAGCATCAGATCCACCATGTCTTTGGTTCGTTGAGGTCCATGGAAAAAAATAGTCTCAATGATCTCACGTGCAACTTAAAAAAAGAAGTCCATTTGTCCACCCATCTTGGCAACCAATTGGACTATGAAATTATTAAAAGGAATCAAAAAAAATACTCTCATGATGACTGGGCTTTTGAAAAAAAACCGCACTTTTTTCAGGAATTTGTTCTCAAAAAAATCTTTCTGCACAGGTGATTCAATTCCAAAAAAAATTGCCAGTATGACTTCTAGAGACATCAGACTGAACCATGAGAACATATCTACACTTTTACCAAAAAAAAATAATGTATTGGTTAAGTATTAGGATTATTAAAATGCTCCAAGGATCACAGGATCTTGGTAAAAAAAATCTCTTTTAATTGTCTACAAGGTATAAAAAAAATACCAGTATCTGCAATGTCCTTCACTTAAAAAAACAATGTATCACAAGACTTTTCTATCAAAAAAAAAATCAGTTTTAACTTGCCAGAGGTAAATAAAAAAATCAAAACAGAGCGAACCCTTCTCCAGTCACCATCATTAAGTTGAAGAAGGCCCTTCTTTCTAAAAAAAGGWGCCAAATTGAAACTGCTGAATCGATTGGTAAAAATATGGAAGTCTTTAACCATGATCTAAAAAAATATTTCTGGRTCGGCAATGACAATGGAAAAAAAACTTCCAGTGCACAAGCTGAATACTTTACCATATTTCTTCATGTATTCTAACATGCAACGATGAATTCCACCGTATTTGGTCATGTCACGTAGGTTAAAAAAATATGGTAATGGTTTAGCACCAGGGATAAAAAAAACATTGAAAACCCAGTAGTTGTACATTCCAACACAGTAGAAGAAAGCAACTACAACCAACAGAAAAAAAAGAACAGCTAAAGGATTTGACAAGACGAAAAAAAGATGGGCCATTTCTAAAAATAAGACAAAAAAAAAGAATCACAGTCATTAGGCTGATGTGCTAAAAAAACCAAAGTGATCATGGGTTAAGGTTCAAAAAAAAATTCTGAACACAAATTTAATTTGCAAACAAAAAAAAACTGAACTGAACACAAATTTAATAGCAAAAAAAAGACCTTTTTGTGAACATTCCGTGTCAAAAAAAAATTTCAAAAATGTTGTTCATGAGGGTGAAAAAAAAGTTCCAAAATAAGGTGTAGGTGGTACAAAAAAAACCCTCACAGATGATCATGGCTTGCTAAAAAAAATGCCTGTAGGCTGATCACAGGTACTCTAAAAAAAATTTTTCATGACCACGAAGTCTTCTTGAAAAAAATCTTGTAACTTTGTAAATATGCAACTAAAAAAAAGACGCCTTAAAAGCATTTTCAAATAAAAAAAAAAATCTCTTATTAAATGAATGCGCGTCAGAAAAAAACCACGACTCGCTCCTTCGGAAACCTAAAAAAAAATGTGTTTTAGTCGAAAATGTTATCGTTAAAAAAAGGTCCAATACTAGTTTGATCGCATCAAAAAAAAAAGAACAATCAGTGCTGGATCTAGGATTAAAAAAAACGGGGTCCAGATTTTCAACTTTTTCTAAAAAAATTTAATATATATGAGTGCTGTTCATTTAAAAAAAGATTATAAAAAATTGTCGTCTTTAAGTAAAAAAAAAACGGATGCGGCTGACCCCATTTTCTAAAAAAAGTCCGCCAATACTCATAGAATTAGTCTAAAAAAATCCCCCGGGGTTCCGCTCTGTATGTCGAAAAAAATGCGTTACTTTAGAACCAGGAATTGCGAAAAAAACAGTCGTAAATTGAAACACTTTCAAATAAAAAAATTTACAAACAAGACAAAAAATAATTCAAAAAAAATTCATCTCCTAATTTTATCAAATTGATATTGTTCATGTCCTTCTATCAAATTCCGAGTTTATTACTGAAGGCAATTTAGTTCAAATTACATTCCAAAAAAAACATAGAAATGAGCTTAACTCAAGTCGCAAAAAAACAAGTAAATCTTGGTTCATTGAACGATAAAAAAAAATACTTTTGATAATCTTTGATTTGCGTTGTTAATCACTTCATTCAAAGACATCGGCGTTTAAAAAAATGTGAGATGTATGAAAGAGCTGCATCAAAAAAAAGTTTTAAGAATACGGTCATGACATGCAAAAAAAACCTACGTAGCACTATTTAGATTGTTAAAAAAAAAAAATATACAGTAACTTGTTTCTTACCTAAAAAAAAAAGTGTTCCTGGTAGCGGTTCCTGCGAAAAAAACTTATCAGTAACAAATCTAGATAGACCAAAAAAATGCGAGTTTACGACTCCTTAATATAGTAAAAAAATGTCACACACTCATCGTGTCTGAAGCTAAAAAAACACTTCTGAATAACGTAATCCCTTTGGAAAAAAAGGGTTTCAATTTGCTAACAAGTAAAATAAAAAAACGTTGTGCAAATAAGGACAAAATAAGAAAAAAAATCCATTCCCTTGGTTAAATTTAAAAGTAAAAAAATTCATTTGTATTCTTTTGTATGCATGTAAAAAAATTGCAGAAGCATTTTGGTTATATTAGGAAAAAAACCCTAGATTCCTCCCTCCCGATATGTCAAAAAAAAGTGCGTAACGAGAACCATAATCAGACAAAAAAAGCGTTTAGTCTTGCAAAAGCGTCAGATAAAAAAATTTTTGTCAAAATACTTATAAGTGGAAAAAAAAACAAGAAAAGTGCCCCACGATTTGCGACAAAAAAATATTCACGAATAATAGATAAATTCACGGGGGGTAATTTATTTCGTTTGCGAGGGGAAGGGGAAAAAAATTAACTTTTTTGATTTTTGGGCTCATTAAAAAAACCCCCGCCCCCATTCCTAATAAATATTAAAAAAACCCTAAATGCGCCTAAATTACAAATTTAAAAAAATATGTCATGTTACCATTAACAACTGTTAAAAAAATTGATCATCCGTGTTTTTTTCTTTGTTAAAAAAATATTTTAATTTGTTTTCACTAAACGCCAAACGTCAAACTGGCTTGTACGCTTTGTCTCAAAAAAAAAAACAAAAGTAAAAACGCTTCGAAAGGAAAAAAAAAATGCGCTTATTAAAAAAAAAGTAAACGAAAAAAAAAAACGCAAATAAAATGTACAGCGACTAAAAAAAGTGCAATAAAATATAATGGAGTTGTAGAAAAAAAACTCTTCTTCATGGCCACTAAAACAGTAAAAAAAAGCAGTAATTTGCTTTTTCTTTGACAAAAAAAAAGAGTAGTTGCGCCCTTTATACAAAGGAAAAAAAATCGGCTTTCCGGGAGATTTTTAGGAACAAAAAAAAATTTTGATGACTACAACTTCCAGGTGAAAAAAACCATTTTTACGAAATGGCGTCGCTACAAAAAAAAAAAAATCAAAGTGCTAGCGCTTACTGCAAAAAAAGGTCAGCTACAATTACATGTAAACATAATAATAATGAACCAAAGTTCCTCTTTATCTTCACAAAAAAAACTCCACCCTCACAAACACACCGTCTCAAAAAAACAAAGTAATTCCTGCAATCATTTTCAAAAAAAAATGTGTTTCTGGGCAGCGTACAAACTTGAAAAAAATCAGAATATTGACCAAGGTGATCTTCAAAAAAAAAAGAGCAAACGCGTATCTAAAACGCAAATAAAATGTACAGCGACTCCATCTTGTGCAATAAAATATAATGGAGTTGTAGTCCTGACACTCTTCTTCATGGCCACTAAAACAGTCCTCCTAAGCAGTAATTTGCTTTTTCTTTGCGAAAATAGAAGTAGTTGCGCCCTTTATACAAAGGAAACATAAAATCGACTTTCCGGGAGATTTTTAGGAACTATTGTCGCGTTCCCGATGTCGCAGACACGTGGTGTTGGGCACCGGAGTTCGCCAGATTAACCACTTTGAGTCGTGAAGGTTATATTCGTTTATTAGCGTAACTGCCTGAATACACGTTGACTCGCTTGCGGTAAAAACTAGAGGGCGTAAAATTGCTTATAATTACTACAAATTGCTAATGCTAAACTATACTTTAACGCATTGTATAAAATATTGAAAACGAGTAAACTTACGTCTAATCTTGTCTCCGCGGGATTGGATAACTAGTTAAAAGAAGACTTCTAAAGGCTAGTTGACTCCGTTCCGAGTTTGTTGCTCCTCTCCGTTTGGCTCCTGAGACTACACTAAATTAGGTTCGGTTGGACGTGCTACTAAAAACTAATACTAAATTCCATATCTTGAAAAACAGGAAAAACCTAAATTCCTATGCTATTGTGAATACAAAAAAAGGGACTAAATTAGAAAGACCGCAAGTAATGGGCTTGTCACTATTGTTAATCTATACGTTGATTGATAGCATGCAATGATAACTAGCTACTTATTATTCAAGAGTTTGTGTCGGTTTTAGTCGTTGCGTGACTACATGACAACTATAAAAAATTTTGATGACTACAACTTCCAGGTGAGGACTTCCATTTTTACGAAATGGCGTCGCTACACATTTTAAAAAATCAAAGTGCTTCGAAAGTGCTAGCGCTTACTGCCTTATATGGTCAGCTACAATTACATGTAAACATAATATTAATGAACCAAAGTTCCTCTTTATCTTCACTTGCATGACTCCACCCTCAAAAACACGCCATCTTTTGGGATAAGAGTAATTCCTGCAATCATTTTCAAAGGCACTTGTGTTTCTGGGCAGCGTACAAACTTGTATTTGGTCAGAATATTGACCAAGGTGATTTTCACTTCAAGAAGAGCAAACCTCTTGCCAATGCAGTTTCGAGGACCTTCTCCAAATGGAAGGAATTGAAATGGATGCCTGGATTCCTTGGCAGGACCTCGGAAACGCTCTGGATCAAACTTTTCCACGTCGGGCCACGCCTCTGNCTCCTTACCAGTATCAGCAATGCCTTTCACTTTCTCTACCAATGTGTCGCAAGACTTTTCCATCAAAGTCACCATCAGCTTTAGCTTGCCAGAGGTAAAGGTTGGGGATAACACAGAGCGAACCCTTCTCCAGTCATCGTCTTTGAGAATGAAWAGTGACTTTCCACGAGCAGGACCACTATTAAAGCGGTTGGTGAAGTTGTGAAAGTCTTTAACCGYAATCTGTTTCAGTAGCTCTGGATCCGAAATGACAATCGAWGCCTTTCTTCCAGTGCACAAGCTGAATACTTTACCATATTTCTTCATGTATTCTAACAAACAAAGGTGAATTCCACCGTATTTGGCCATGTCCCGTATGTTACCGATGTACGGTAATGGTTTAGCACCGGGAATATTCATGCCATTCAAAACCCGGTAGTTRTACGTCCCAAAGCAGTAGACAATGACAATTACAGCTAACAGTACAACAAGAACAGCTAAAGGATTAGATAAGAAGTCCAAAAGATGAGCCATCTCTAGAAAAAGAAGAATGCACAATGATTAATTCATGACGACTTTTTAACCCGGGGAGCTCACCAGAGTCGCTTGTTTTGCAAGTCAAATAAAAATCCCCTAGAGCCCCTGCTCATTTTCCTCTGATACCCCCTCCCGTGCCCACCCAAAGAACATCCTTTGTGACAACACAGGGACCCCGTATTAAGGAAAAGACGGAAGTTTGCAGTCATTAGGAGACCTGTTTGCAGCCACGTCAGTCGTTTCGTTTCCGATACGGTTAGGAACGGCACGCAGGCTTCAGCGAAATCATRTAGGTAAAATAGCAATGAGCCTAGCCTTSGAGACTTGCGCTCAGCGATTAAGTGTTTTGCAGTATTTTTCGAAGCCCAACTAAAAATTATTCTTACGTCATAATAGAGTAGTTCAAAMATTACTATAAAATACAAACTTCACACGCATCATATCACAAGGTAAAAAAGTTTATCTCTATTCTACTAAATACACAGAAGACTAGTTCTGAAGTAGTGTCGAAAGTAGTACAAAACTTATGTTTGATTTCTTTTATAGAAATATGAAAGTTTGGATTGTGTCACGCAAATGCTGTCATCAAMATGGCGACGCCAGKCACGCGAATCATCATGGATCAATACGCTTGAATACGGACTGACAAATGTTGCATAAGAATGTTCTCTGGCTAGCAATGGCCAACCTACRTAGTTTTCTTTTAGGCATATGAAATGTTCTTGCTTATATACCAGTTTGAGAATGCTCTTATTGCAAAAGTATCCACTACCGTTTCTAGCTGATTTCATCATCATATACTAATCTCATTCTAACCGCAAATCGCGGAGCATTTGAAAGCRAGTTTACCGAAGGGATTGAAATCGCAAACTAGCAATGAACTCGCATTTTTCACAGATAATAAATTAACTATAAAACTGATCATTCCAGAGTAAATTGATTTACTGTAAGTTAACATACCAATGACTCAGCTTTTTAAAGCTTTTTAATGGCTGAATTGTTTTAAGATCGTTTTTTCTAGTTTGGTCACGACATCAACGGTGGCGCCATTTTTACCACTTTTCTCTTACCTTATTAAAGAAACAGGCAGTATGTGMAGGATGGYAAAGCGTAAGTATCAGCCACAAAATTAGCTTCTGTGGAAATGCTGTCAGACCCCTCGTTCTCAGACCCTTTTAAGAAATCCTAAAGAATTTCACTTCCGGTTTATGCTCTAGCTCTCTACATATGCAATCACTTATTTTGAATATGACGTCATAGAGTTACGTTATTTTCAGTTTAAGACATACAAAGAAATGACAGTTTGCAATACACTGATCTTGTGATGTCAGTACAATGTCGTGATTTATGCAAAATGTAAATTAAAATATTATCTCTAAAACAATATGATTCCTTGACAAAGATTGGACCTTTCTTTGTCTATTTATGTGAAATCATTCTTTAATAGTCAAATTTCCTTTTACT